ATTTCTGTTTCACAATATATTGAGTAAATCATTAATTTTCTCATAGGTTTTAACGCGTGAATCAAAGTTGGCCTGTAAAGTTGCTTCATTCCATAAATGTCTAGTTGTGAATATATCTTTCTGAATTGATTTACCATACAAGGAATTACCTAATAATTTCATGCAATTACTACCCACGATATTACCTTCTCGTTTATATTTATTTCTTAAATCTCTCAAAATTAAAATATAATCTCTATAGGGTGGAGTTTTAAAATTTTCTTCGTAAACTATACCATCTAATATTCTAATTATTCGTCCATCGACTTTCACTATTTCTTGAATATCGACCGATGTTAAAACGTCGTGAACCTGAACCTGATTTTGTTACCAGTTTCCTTTTTACCTTCTGTATTCGTGAAAGTGATTTTATCTTTAGCTGGTATCGGTTGGAAGAACATGTTTTTGGGATAGTCAAACCACACTGTTAAAATAGCTGTTCTAGGTCTGATTTTTTGTTTATTGAAGAGTTTTACAAATTCTTTTTCTTCTTCTGGTAGAAACGGTCTTCCACTTTCGGCTCTTGGATATTCACTGTCTAAATCCGACATGGCGGAAGCGTATAAACCGTTAGCATCAAATGCCATTAGTTTAGTACATTCTATTTTTTTAAGTCTCGAATGAACTTCCGTTTTGTCTTTTGTGCTTGCGCTGTATTCTTTGGATAAATCAATTATGTTATTACTTTCACTTTGTGAAATTTATTCCTTTAATACGTTACAAATTTCATCCATTTTGTTCGTTTCAAATGATTTTCTATTTGCCGAAACACTTCCTCCTTTAATAGATCGTCTGATAAAATTTCTTATAAAAGGATTTGTGTGCGAATAAACTTTTTCTATATTTTCTTTTTCGGTATGTTTCGCAACCATTCTAGTAGTTTCATACCATTCTTCTTCCACCATTTCTTTATCGTAATGATATAAATAATACCAACCCTTTAAAGATAAAGATGGAGCCGTTAGATTATTAGACATATTCTGGTTTACAACTTCTTTCGTGACTTGGTTGTATTTTATCAAACAAGCTCCCAAACAGAGAGTGTCTCTCTTGGCGTAAGGTTCCCATTCGTGTCTCAATTCCTCCCAGTTGTCTCGCGTGTATTTAGCGATATCTACGTCGGCAATCTTTCTCAAATTCGCGGGAAGATTGGAAGAATTTCCCCATGCAGCCAAACTAGAGGATTCGTGTTGGTAGGAACACGTGAAATTAATATGTTGTAAATAATTACCCGTTATTTCTTTCTGTCTTTTCCATTTTTTCTGTAAATCTTCATCCGTGTATGGATTAGATAAAGGAAAAGATAGAATTCCCCTGGGTGTTTTTAAAGGGCAATGCGTTAGTTTTTTTGCATTTTTAAGCACGATCCCGTTGTCGAATCCACTGCCGTTATGAGAAATTAATATTAATCTCTTTCTATCATATTGACCTAAATATTTCAACATTTGATCGATGCAATCTGTACCTACAAATATTTCTACTACATTCATTAGTTTATCATAAAATTCTTCTGGAATGGGATCTGACGGCTTTAAATCTGGAAAGAGATTATTTATTCTGTTTAACATTTTCCTTAGTTTTTCTAAATTAATTAAAGTGCAGGCATAAGGAATTGCTCTTCGCGTGTCTTTTTCTGAATACGTTTCGCAATCCCAAGCGAAAGGTGAAACCTGTGTTACTGCGTTGTCGTCTCTACACGTTTTCCACACCTGTTCGTAATTGTCTTCTATTTCTTGAATTCCCAAACTTTCTTGGCTTCTTCTAATCAAACAGAAATGCGAGTTGTGTAAGTACAAAACCCAATCTAATTCATCGTGAACGTCTCTGGGGTGAAAATGTCTGTTTTTGGGATTATAAATTTGAAACGAAGTGTTAAATTTCTTGTTGAATTCATTCATTCTAGCACAAGTCATCACTCCTTTTCTATTTGCTTTTGAAAACCCGTTGATGTATTCTTGAAATTTACACGTTAAATCTTTGTTCAAAACACGAATGACGCATTTGATAAAACAGTGACCATCTGTAGGTATGTAACAATTTTCGCCTTCGTATTCATTTATCTTTTTAAGTAGATCAGTTCCTCCTCTACCAACTCTCGATCTTTTGATTTCTTGGAAATTGTCTTTCATTAAAATTATTTTTCCTGTAAAATACCAATCGGAAGCATCGGATTTTTTGTCCATATTTGAAAAGATATTGTGAAAAGTTTTGGCATTGAAACCGAGGAGTGACATGTATTGTCTGTGATTCCCTTCCTCGACTATCTCTCCATCTATTTTAATTTGTCCTTTGAATGTTTTAAATTTATCAGAGATAGCCTTGATAACATCGGAAAATAGGGCGTTTACTATCAATGTTTCATCAAGTTCGATTTTATTCATATTTTTTTAAGTGTATATTTTTGATTATTTCTTTATTTTGACCGCTGATATTTCTGTATGGAATTTGTCCAAAATTTCATTGAATTCTTGTAATTCTTCAACTGTTATGTTCTTGTCTTCTCTCGATCTTTCGAAAAAGATGTACAATTGATTAAGATACATATTCAAGATATCCGTTTTCTTTTTATAATGAGCTTTCTTTTTGCTCGTGAAACCTATAGCAATCAAGCCACAAGATGAAGTTTGAATAGCAGTAATTGTGGCCAATACAGTTGGGACAAGTACAGGAACCATTAACCCACCAGTCACGGCCGTTGCAAGTGTTGTTCCTATCGTTAGAACTACACTCGCTGTTTTGAAAACAGAATCGATTCTACTCCATGTTTTCCTGCATGAATTGTACTGTCTTAACTTTATTTTCAACTCTTCTTGTTTGTCTATCATGTATTGTTGTCTGCTTTCGAGTTCCATTTTTTAAGTCGTTAAATTAAGTGAATTTCCGATAAATGGAACCACGGAATATCGTATGGAGACTCCTTGTTTGGCCTAGCATTATTATATTTGCGGGTATTAAAAGTAAAAACATTTACGCGTACTAACGACATTTCTTTTTTCGTATGGTCCTCTTTAAGATGATAGGAATATTTTCTTTTTTCTTTTTCGATGTTTATCTTGGCTCTAGAAATAAAACCACCACCTTCAAGGATGGAGTCGGAACCTTCGGCAAACGAAAAATGTACTATAAACTCTCTTTCTTGTTGACTTTTATGAACATCGATCGAGGTGTATTTTCCACCTAAAACAAAATACAGTTTTACGTATTCAAAGTCTGTTGTTCGTAAAAACTCGTGACTGCTCGATTCTATTGGTCCGGTACGTATACGGGTATTATAAGTGATGGTGGAATTTTGACAATGTTGGTTAATGGTGGATTTTCCGTCTCCAATATCATATCCAAATCTTTGATTCCAATGATATCCTTATCATTTTCTACTTCCATTTTAAAGGTGTCTACATATTTACCATTTTTCGTTTCAATTTCCTGATCCCTTTTATCAATCAAACGTATATTCTCTTCCAAATTACCATCATTGAATAATTAAATATGTTTGACGCCGGTTTGTTTGAAGACTACTTTATTGACTTTAACCTTCATGGGAAACTCTATTTGAATCAGACAATTACCTCGAAAAGAAAACTCTTGCGTTTCGCCGATATCGAATACGTTTTTAGGTTCACCATATGCGAGAGAACCCACTTTTATTTCTGCTTTGAATCCGTATTTGTTTGATTTATAAATTTGGTCTTTTCTATCGAAGACAGTATCACTTTCGAATGGTGGTTGAAATAATACGATTTGTCCGTGACAATAGCTTCTAATTTGCTCAACTTTCTCTCTTGTCTCAAAAAATTGTCATGAATTCTAGATACAAAAAGATTGACCTGTTCTTTAATATAATTTTTCATATCATCTCGAAATTTATTTTGAAGAAAGTTTTTAATCACACCCACTTCTTTTTCTAATTCGTCCGTGATTTTAGTATCCAAAGCAGTCAATTGTTGTTTCAACGTATCTTTGTCAATGGGAAGTGTGTTAATTATATCTTGAACATCTGATTTTTGCTTCGCGATCTTTTCGTTCAAATTGGATATCGAATTTTGTAACTCGGTTTTGTCCGCGGTCTTGTCTAGTTCTGCTAGCAATTCACCAAGTTTTCTTTTCAAAGCGGTTAGTTTTCGTTTCAATCTATCCTCGTTTACATTTGGGTTGTCTATTAAACGTTGGACGTCTATTTTTACCTTCGTAATCTTATCGTCTAATTTAGATATCAACTGACTTGTTTTATCCACTTGAATAAGACGTTTGAAACTCGTTAACTCTTGTTGTAGTTTGGGTTCGTCCACAAGATTTTTAATATTTCGTCTGATGAATCTTTTCACGTCATTTATTCTATTTTCAACATGGTCCTTATCTATTTGAATTGCGTTTATTTGATCCCGTAAATATTTCTTGTTCACGGCATCGTTATCGTTTCCTGGAAACTTTAAATTAGTTATTTTGAAATTGTTCATATCGATATCCCCTTGTAAGGTGTCTCCGATTTGATCCACGAAAAAAGGTTTCGCTTTGTTTATAAACGCCGTAGAACTCATGGGATTTTTAGATTCTAGAGGTAAAGACCCTAATCCAAACTTGTTTGCCATTTTTATTGAGTTAAATTTATTATAATTTCTTCAAACTTTTCTCCCAAACTCAACCGATATAAAACCCAAAGCGACAGCTGTCCACACAGCTTTTGTCCTGGCATTTGAATTTGAAACGTAGAACATTTGATTGGTTTGCTAGTTAATTTCGTTATCTCTTCTGTCGGTTCTAGACCGAAAGAATCAAAGAAATAAAAGTTATTCGAAGAATCTTTGTGTAAAGCAGAGTGATGAACTCCTTTTTGATCCGACGTGTGAATGTTTGAGATGGCGTAAAATTTACCTTTCTTGTATTTCAGTTCATCAATTTCATCTCGCATGCAATAATAAAACGGCGAGACGTTCAACTCCTTGGCCCATTTCACAAGTTGAAAATTTGTGGTCGTGTCTTTTCCGTATTTATCGAGAAATGCATTCA